CACATTTGCCATTGTCAAGTACAAAGTTAATAGAATAGGTTCCAACTTAAAAGAGATACAAAAACTCCTCCACTGACCAAATCAGAGAACAATATTCTGTGATAAAGCAGATGGGTCCTCTGAAAAATTATTCATGGTGGCTGAAATATCTAACAGAAGGCATGAGTGTCGACATGAACTGAGTAACATATGCTATTGTATGAAAACTTATCCAAGAATGACAGTTGAGTATAATAAACTAATATGATAGTGATATAATAACAAAGATACAAGGACTATATAACCTATAGATGGTAGGGCAGGATTATGTGCCTTTGCCACGTGAAACTCTGTCACGTTGGTCAAATCTACCTTTCCTCGTCTCCTTAAAGAGAGAAGGACATGAATTCAATTATTTTCCCATCCTTTTCATTATAGCTATACTTCGAATCCTTCTGATAATCCCATGTTCTATAATCTGTCTTGCACTCAACCCTACCAATGGGTATATAAGATAATTGCCACAATAAATTTCCTCCAAAACAAATATACAATTATCTATGCAAGACCTACTATAAAGTTGTGCATTTCAAGCGAGTGGACGATGAAAACGACTATTTGACAGATTTATAACTGGAGAAGTCAATAATCAACTGATATTATGTACTGTCTGCATGCTCTAGTGAACCCAGGTGGTTTAGCATATTATAATACCTAGCAGTCCTCGTCCCAGTAGAATAAATGATCATTGTTCCTTTAATCTCAAGTTGTAACTAGAGATTCTACCTAGTTTATTGTCTCAAGAAGGTGTAGGATAGAATGGAATGGAAAAGGACAGTGTTGCTTAGTATGAGGAACAAGCTCTTAACATTGACAGCCGAATTGACAATAATGATACGGATTTATACATCACAAAGCTTTGAAAATGATTGTTATAGGTTGAGAATATTATAACACAACCTGATTATTGCATATGGTGTTTAAGAACGGTGGACCATTCAATAAAGTATAGCATTGCTAAATAGATTAACATAACAGTTATGGAAACAATATTTGGGGTCCCTATAGAAGAATCTTAATGAAATAACCCACAACTGGATGTCTGAAGAACATTAAGCAACCTGTTTCAAGGGTATTAACATAATGACAAGAGCTCAATGATTCAAACTTGAGATCCCTTTTTTTTTTTTTTTATCAATTCCCATCCTTCAGAAAGGACACGTTAGAAAAAAATATCAAGCAGCCTATGACAATGCCACCAATTACGCTAGAAAACCTTAAATCAAAATGAAACCTCGTTATGACTGTTCTAGCAATATGGGAAATGTTTGTTTATATAAGTTATAACAAAACTTGACATAAAAATAAAAGATAGAACTATAAATGAGATTCATGAAACAAATATATTCAGAATTTCTTAGTGATAGGCTGATAGAAATTGGGATCAGAAATCAGTACCAGCAACTTGCTAAATTGCATCGTAGTACAAGGCAAAAGTAGGGGCTGAGGAAGCTTTGGGAACTGTTACAGCAGTAAGAATAATATCAATTAGCAAACCTATTAAATAATTCAAAATTAGAAATATGACAAAAGGATTCCACCTCATAATTCATTGCTCATCCAATCCTGAGAACACATGAAAGCTTGCAAAGTATCAGACTTCAATGAGCTCCAATGATGATTAAGCGTTCTATCTCCATTATCGAATATAGACTCTAATGCAACTTTCGAAATTGGAATACCCAGTATATTGCGGACCATCATAGATAGGACAGGATAACTTGGTGCATGAACTTTCCACCAATTTAATATGTTGAAATCAACATCACGTGGAAACAGGGGTTCCTCCAAGTACTTGTCCAGGTCCGAGTTTATATTTTGGTTAAGTGAAGTTTCATCAAGGAATTTGTCATATCCAGCTAATCTATCGTTAACATCACTACCACCATTTTCAGAAGCTTGTTCATGAGAAGCTAATGGTGAATAGATCGCATGCCCATTGTAAAGAGCTTTCATACAATTTGAAACAATATCTATGCAATCTGAAGCATTATCACCATAAATTTGAGGATAGTAGTACTCCACCAGTTTCATCTTGAATCGTGGATCTAAGATGGCTGCAATAGCCATGATTAAGCTGCACTTCTTCCAATATTCATCAAATTTAGATTTTAATTTCAATGCTAAAGAGCTAATAAAATCATCTGACCTCCGGCACCATACAATCAACTGCAAATGAATATCACAAATCTCCGAGAAATAGGTATTGGCAGTAGAATGCTTGCTTTCTGCAAAGACATTAGAAACTTCATGAAAAAACTTCAAGATGCTAGTAATAGCTTGCACTCTGTCCCAGTCCAAACTCGATGGGCACAATGAGTAGATAGGGTCACGTTCTTGCAATAGGGGAAAGGCTTCTTTATACTCTAATGCAGCTTCAAGCATTATATATGTCGAGTTTCGTTGAAATGGATTATCAAGGGGTAAACATTTCTGAGCATTAATACCAACGAGTTGAACCATCTCATTGAACTTTTCTTGTGTTTCTCGAGAACTTTTAACATACCGTATGCTTTCCCGAACTTTATGAGTTATCTCACTAGATGCTTCCAGTACATCTTGGACCAAAAACTTGACAGTGCTTGCAGCGCAGCGTACATCAAATAATTGACCTTCACACATGAGGAACCTGTGCTGGCATAGTTGGTCTCTGATTCTACAGACAATCTTGTCATAGGAGGAATGGTTATCGATGGTCAATGAAAACAACTTCCGGTCAATATCCCAATCCCTAAGGCTATCCATGATTACTTCTGAAAACGAATCTTCTGTTCGAGAAGGATCAATCTTTAAAAAGTTCAAAATCTTCTTCTTTAATGCCCAAGAATCGTCAATGTAGTACGCTATCAAACACAGGTATTGCATATCTCCATTAGCGACCCATCTATCAGCACTAAGGCTGACTTTTCCAGGCAACTTATCTAACTCCTCATACACTTTCTGTTTCTCTTTTTTATAGATCTCCAGACAGTCAGCCTCAACTTTGTCAATTGTCACAAGGTCAAACAAGGGCTGAAGATTTCTAACAAACATCTTGAACCCAACATCTTCAACCATACTCAGAGGATACCCATGTAACATAATCATCCGTGCAAGATCTAGTTGACTACGCCGATGATCAAAACTGAAACTGCCCATGTTAACTGTTCCAACATCTACATGCCCTTGTTCAAAATTAGTACTTGCAACAGTGACTATCTCATTTCTTTGACCTTGATTATAACCGACATTGGGAAGGGCAAGGGTGCTTTCCTTTTTCTTTCCCCTTGTTAGCAATTGACTTATATCATGGTTTGATCTTCTACGGCACCTGATCAAGTGATTTCTCAAATGTGATGTTCCACTGGTACTTGACCCACTAAGTACTCTTTTACAGTGTTGGCAGATAGCCACAAATGTATCTCCTCTTTTAACTCTATCAAAATCATTCCACACAACAGATTTTAGTCTTCTAGAATGGACATTGACTACTTCTGATACTTCCATCTGGTTGCAAAGATAATTAACGAAAATCTCTTAAAACATACCCAAAAAATAAACTGACGAAAGAATAAAAATGCTAACACTGAACTTGTATAAGCACCATAACTTTTTGAAAAAACATGACAATACAAAAACATACAATTTGACATCAACCTAAGCAAAATTGTTTGTATGTTGTCAAACAGCGTTCCTTTAGTACACTCAAAAAGAAAGGAAACAAGCCAAGGACAAACACCTAAATTGTTTTGGTTAACAATGCACTTCAAACAACAACTGAAAGTAAAGAATGCAGTTCCAATCCCTTCTCATCAAGCAAAAGCTTCAAAAATGTAATCTAAAAAAATATCATCACCCATATCGAATAAGTTGCAAGAGCAATTTAAACACCTGAAGATAACCTTTTTTTTTTATAACTAAATTAGCTTAACCTTCAAAAAAAATAAACAAATAAAAACAATTAGGGCAGACAAATGCCACCTTTTGCTAGCATATATGAAAATACATGAGAATAAATTCAATTTCAAGTTTTGGAAGCAAATTTCAACAATACATTTGATCAAAAGACTACCCAAATAAAATCCGGCCCAACAACGCAGAGCGCAATGGATAGGAATAATCGGGTCGAACTGGCAATTTTAAAAGAAATCCATATGAACATCGGATCAGGACCGACCCGCGATTCATTTCAAACAAAAAAAAA